ATTTTGAAAATTATATGATTTTTTATAAGATTTTTTTGATAATATGATTTTCTATAAGATTAATCATTTGTTTTTTAATTAAAATTATGTTATGCCAGATTAAAATGACTTGATTGACAATGTTTGTATAGTAAACATGCTTAAATGATAGAGTGTTGTATTAGAAATAAACAATTCACGATCTAAATCACTCTATCCTTTATTTTCTTAGTAATATTAGATGTTTAAACTCGCTAGGCACATAAGGGTTTGTTCAAGAAGAAATGAGTAATGAAATATTTATATTATTTATTTTTGCGGGAACATTGAATAAATTCGTAATACAATATAATTAAATATGTATATTCACTATTACCATCTCTAACATAACAATTGATTATTTCTTATTTAATAAAATAATACACATCTTTCCAACTATAAATATCACTAAATTATTTATTTTTGTACATATTATGCTTCATATTCTCTATTATTTATCCCACTCACAAATTTTTATTGAAATATTTGTGTTTTACTCTTTGAAAAAAATTTAACTAACCAATCTAAAAAACCTAAGAAATCTATTAAAAAAACTTGTTGATGCAAGGCACTTCCGTAAAAAAAAACTGATGCCCACTCAACTTAGTCATTTACTCAAGCATCTTGTAAAAAAGTTAATGGTGGAATTGTTGGGAGGACTACACAGCGTACAGCTCCAGCATCTTCCAGCAGCTTGCAAAAAAATTAAAACCATATTTCGGATTCATCTAATCCGTTTTTTAACTTACCCTACACCTCCCACATAAACCCTACATATTTCGGATTCATGGAACACGTTTCCCGTTTTTTTAGAAACCCTAAAAAAAGTCCCGCATTTTGGCAACCCATGCATGGCACTCCCGTAAAAAAAGAAATCACCCCATTTGTTTTGTATTTTTGGAACTATTTGTATAGTCTCCATCTTTTTTAAAGTTATTACAGTTTAATTTTATGTTTTTCACACTTTCGCTTTGTTTTTTTGTCTTTTTTCTATTTTTATTTTTTATGATAACTTGTTAAAATTATCTATCCATTTTTGAACTAACAAAGTTTTTATATTATTATTATATTAATTTTGAAAATTATATGATTTTTTATAAGATTTTTTTGATAATATGATTTTCTATAAGATTAATCATTTGTTTTTTAATTAAAATTATGTTATGCCAGATTAAAATGACTTGATTGACAATGTTTGTATAGTAAACATGCTTAAATGATAGAGTGTTGTATTAGAAATAAACAATTCACGATCTAAATCACTCTATCCTTTATTTTCTTAGTAATATTAGATGTTTAAACTCGCTAGGCACATAAGGGTTTGAAACTCAATGGAGTGAGTTTCAGCCCTGATTACTCCAGCCCCCCCCCCCCCCCCCCCAGACGCTCCCTGCACTACAAAAAAATTCGCCTGTAGTCACGGACTTAGTCACGGACCGTAGTGTAAAAAGTCCGTGACTAACACTTTTAGTCACGGACTTCGTCCGTGACTAGTTCAGTGACTAGTTCTGCGTGACTAGAATGTAGTCACGGACCAGTGGCCGTGACTAGGTGTAGTCACGGATTAGTCACGAACCGACGTCCGTACAATACCGCATGTTTATCGTACATCCAAATTCTATTTTGTCTATACATTATGCCTGAATATTATAATAAAAAAATTATACAGGTTAAAAACTCTAAATTATAAACATTACCAACATATTATATATGTGGAGTATTATTAATATATTAAAATCAACTAATTCCCTAAAATTCCCTTAAAATTAACTAATTCCCGTAAATTTCACTAAATTTCACTAAAATTCCCTTAAAATTAACTAATTCCCTAAAATTCCCTTAAAATTAAATAATTCCGTTAAAATTAACTAATTCCCTTAAAATTAACTAGTTTCCTTAAATTTCACTAAAATTCACTAAAATTCCCTTAAAATTAACTAATTCCCTAAAATTCCCTTAAAATTAACTAATTCCCTTAAAATTAACTAGTTTCCTTAAATTTCACTAAAATTCACTAAAATTCCCTTAAAATTAGCTAATTCCCTAAAATTCCCTTAAAATTAAATAATTCCCTTAAAATTAACTAATTCCCTTAAAATTAACTAGTTTCCTTAAATTTCACTAAAATTCACTAAAATTCCCTTAAAATTAACTAATTCCCTAAAATTCCCTTAAAATTAACTAATTCCCGTAAATTTCACTAAATTTCACTAAAATTCCCTTAAAATTAACTAATTCCCTAAAATTCCCTTAAAATTAAATAATTCCCTTAAAATTAACTAATTCCCTTAAAATTAACTAGTTTCCTTAAATTTCACTAAAATTCACTAAAATTCCCTTAAAATTAACTAATTCCCTAAAATTAACTAATTCCCTTAAATTTCACTAAATTTCACTAAAATTTCCTTAAAATTAACTAATTCCCTAAAATTCCCTTAAAATTAACTAATTCCCTAAAATTAACTAACTCCCTTAAAATTAACTAGTTTCCTTAAATTTCACTAAAATTCACTTAAAATTAACTAATTCCCTAAAATTCCCTTAAAATTAACTACTTTCCTTAAATTTCACTAAAATTCACTAAAATTCACTTAAAATTAACTAATTCCCAAAAGTTCCCTTAAAATTAACTAATTCCCTTAAAATTAACTAATTGCCTAAAATTTCACTAAAATTCACTAAAATTCACTAAAATCCCATTAAAATTAACTAACGTCTAATAATTAATAGATTCCGTGACTACTTTTTTTTTTAACGATTCCGTGACTACACCGTGATTAGAACCGTGACTAACTAGTCACGGACCAAATCCGTGACTACGGTCCGTGACTACAGGCGAATTTTTTTGTAGTGCTGGAGTAAAAAAAAACTAGTACGAAACATGAAGTATTGGGTAATGGCTTAGGCGCGTAGGCATGCACTCAAATTGGGTTGATCCGAGACAAAAATTCATTTTGAAAAAATATTGATACAAAATATTTTACAACAATTACATTTTAGACATTTTTAAAATTAATTTAGCCTTTTTCATGACCTAGGGTTTCTCCTTAACTACACTCATAGTACAGATGGCTGTGTAAGATTAACTTTTACAGGACACTAGTATTAAAACGGAAGATAACTTTGTCTCAAAAAATTATAGCAATCTTGCTACTTTTTAAGGAGTATAAATAGAGATGTTGTTATTATTAATATTATTATTATTTAGTGATGCGCAGATGAGACACAATATTTTGGGTAAGAATATTGTTGTATATACTATGAAATAATTACTAATATTTCATATACATTATGTCGGTAAAAGTAAGAGAAAAATGTTATTGATAGACTAAAACATAGGTTTGTTCCAAAAACAGGACCTAATATTTGGTTTTTCCTAAATAGGACTAACCATTTCATTTTTACCCCAAATGATATAATTATATAAATAACTCAATAAATTGCCTCCTAGTTCTCTTGCACAATTCGCAAGACAGTCTGTTGGTAGTAGGGGCAGTCTGGTGGTGGTGGCAGCTCCGCCAACAGCAGCGGCGGTGAACTCCGGTGGCGGAGGAAACGTTGGCAAGCCGCCAAAAAAAATCTGGAAAATTTTCCATCGGCAGCGGCAGTCCAGGGGTAGCAGTGAGGGCATTTTGGTCAAGCACAAATAAGAAGGCCTATTTAAGGATGTTTAAACTAATTGGTCCTATTTTGAGAAAAAAACCAAGTATTAATCATATTAAGGTAAAAGCTCGTAAAAGTAAATACACTATTGTTCTCGAATACATTACACTTATGTTGAATTGGCTACGTGCTAATTTGGTAAGAATTATAAAAAGTTAATGGAAGAAATTTCTACTTTCTAGACATGCATGTACGATATTTATAAAAACATCTTTCATTATATAATATGGCACGTTTGATTAATAGATTTTTTCCAATTCAATAATCATTGACATCAAAACTTTAATGATCATACGTTTACTTTTCCTTTTATATAACATTCTGCATTAATTGTCTATTATGACCCTAATTTGGGCGGGATTTTCCCCTCCAATTGTTGTCCAAACACTGTTACTTTATATTATATAAAGATTCTGCATTAATTGTCTATTATGACCCTAATTTGGGCTGAATTTTTCCCTCCAATTGTTGTCCAAACACTGTTACTTTATATTATATAAAGATATTAGTGGTTAGGATATGTTCTCATTTCTCACAATAACAAGAGTTGACGAATACTCTTGTTATTCGTTTGGTCCGTTCAACTATGGTAACTTTAGATTACTAATGCATGTGTCTCACACTCTCATGGTTAATAATCTAAAGAGGGATCAATTATACTGATTAAACCGATAAATCATTTGTGTTGGGGTTGTCAATCTCACATAAATTCATCTACAGTTTTATTGCTACTATCGGGTCAATATAAGACACTTGCTTTATATTAACTAGGTTAGAGTGTTGTCAAGGAATGGGTCTCATTATTGATAAGTGCCATCGATGGATTGGAAACACTTCATGATTGAGTATTTGAGATAGGATAGTTAAAGTTATAACCAAGATCGATGAATATTTCATGAAGTGAAAATTTGCAAAACCAAGTCCTTATCTGATTGATATTAAATCACATAAGTCATGCATCTTAGTTTTTAACTACTCTCAAGTTCAAACAGACGGAAACCACCTTTTATTACACTTTCATACAAGAAGAGATACTTTTGCATGCGGATACGAAACTTATTACACTATACCACAGTATTAGTGCGAGTAATGAATTTATTTTGAAGTACACACCGATTTTAGTGCCATGAGTTAGTGAAGACACATTAAGATACTACTCTCTAAAATGATGTTATAATAAATAATTAAAGAAATTAAATAGACAACGCGGCCATTACAAATTGATGTGTAACAAAATTTCAATAATCTAAACACATAGAATGATTGATGCTCTTTTGACTTTGTAAACACATATGTTATAAATTAGATAGATATCTTATATAAATACTTAACATGTGTCATCAATCCAAATCAAATTAGACCATTCAGTTGGGGATAGATGGTCAAATCGTTTTTTCACAAGCAATTTAAAACTAAAAGTGCCAAACAAGTAAACAAATCATAATTAAACATGCAATGCAATGATACAAAAAAAACATAGCTCACCTATATAAGAATCCTTAAAGGGTGAGGTTTACCTCACACTTTTATATTAGATATAATTTTGTAGATATCTCATGTGGAATATTTAGAAACATTAATCTTTTTTTTGTATCTATTTAACTTATGAAACCTTGAATCAAATAAATCAATGAAATATATATACTACCTTCTCGGAGATCATTGCGAAAGTGAAGCTCCATATCACCATATGATTTACTTCACAGATTATTAGTCCATGCGCACCACTTTACTTCCATTACGGTAAAATGGAGGCTCACAAGGTGTTGGCCAGCTAGTAGTACTACTACTTAGCATTAACATTACCTCCGGCATTGTTGGTCTTTTATCTGGACTTTCTTGAACACATAACAATCCAATGTGAATGCATGGGGTGACTTCTTCTGATTTGTATGATTTTTCGAGAACTGGATCTAGTATTTTCAACGGTGTGCCATCCATCCAACTTTCCCATGCCTAATGTATGTATTACGACTTTAATATAATGTTCATAAGTAGGTAATTATGTATAACATGTTATATTCTGAAGCCAAAAAGAAATAATGAACACCTTTAAAATGGAGAAGATGCAATGAGAAGTAAATTATTTTTTTGTATACGATTCATTGTTAATATTTGAAATACTACTAGAAGCATAGCTCTATTTGTAAGGATAAAGTGATGTGTATATGTATTTATTTTGGAAATTTCAACTTACATGGCTAAGAAGGTCTTGTCCTCCTTTTGAATGCAAGAAATTGCGATTTTTCTTGCCACTAATGATCTCTAAAAGTAAAACTCCAAAGCTGAAAATATCTGACTTCACAGAAAACTCTCCATACAATGCATATTCCGGGGACATGTAACCACTACAAACAAATACATAGACATATTAAGTAACAAAGTTGATATAGATAAGCTATGGTATATATAATATATTTTTCAAAAAATATATTTTGCCTCACTAAACTATATATGGGACCATCACTTAAGAACATAATGTAGATAAATTTGCTAGACAAAAGTATTTAACTTACTATGTCCCAACAATTCTTTTAGTATTTGCTTCGACTTTGTCATCTGAGAAATATTTTGCTGTGCCAAAATCAGCTATTTTTGGATTCATACTTGCGTCCAAAAGTATATTGCTTGCTTTGAGATCACGATGTATGATTCTAAGGCGGGAATCTTCATGAAGGTAAAGCATACCTCGTGTTATTCCTTTTATAATTTCGTAGCGCCGTGACCAGTCCAAAATATATTGGTTCTCATAATCTAAATATATCAAAACACATGTCACTATATATTATGAATTGCGGTGTTGTGCACGTATCATTCATTTAAGCTAAATATATAGGTAAGTAAGATTCGGAAGCTAACCAAATAAAAAGTAGTTGAGACTTTTATTTGACACAAGTTCATAGACTAGAATCCTCTCTTCACCATGAGAGCAAAATCCCAATAGTCTTACTAAATTTCTATGTTGAAGCTTGGCAACTACTTCAACCTCATTCATGAACTCTTGATCACCTTGTTCCGAGGTTTTTGAAAGTCTTTTAATAGCTACTTCTTGTCCATCGGGAAGCTTTCCCTAAGTAATGGTCATGAGGAAATAATTTTCACATGTACTACAAGTTTAGAAATAACTATTTGTTAATAACTATATGTATGTAATACAATAATAGTGTACAACATAATAACAAAAACAACAACAATAAAAATATTAAATAATTATATAGTTTCATTAGCAATCCTAGCGAACCAAACACTTACTTTTGATATTTTTGTGTGTGTCACACAATTGCTCGGTCAGACTCCTCAGAAAGACAATAGGCCAGTGAGATTGGATATGCATACAAATGTCATCCAAAAATGTTTAAAACCACTACATCTGATAATTTTTTAATTCGATCCTTACCTTGTGTACGAAACCATATCCACCTTCACCAATTTTACTTTCAGTTGAGAAATCATTTGTAATAGCTTGAATTGTAGCATAATCGTATTCGGAGAACCCTGCAGTTAAAATACTAGCCACATCTGTAGAGTGGATGGAGATCACACATGGTTAATTCCAAAACTGAAATGTTATAGAGGTATTGTAGTACACAAAAATTAAGTGATGGTTAATCAATCCAATCCAATCCAAAACAATGTGTTTAGTTCTTAACCTGTTCTCGAGGAGAGTATAACATTTCTGTTTTTAGCCTTTCTAGTTCTCCCGTGATAGAAGATTGCATTGATGATGAATATAATCCCAAACATTGAACCTACAATGACACTGATGACTTTTAAAGAATGGTATCTCTTCTTTCCTGCAAAAATGGAATCACATACATATTATAATCAACTACATTGTGGTTTTCGCTTATCTTTAATTCTTTTATATTTCATCTCGGATCTAATTTTTATTTTAGGAATTCAATGCACTAGCTTAATCCGAAAAATAAGTTCTCATTTTCTTATTTAGATGTCTCAAACTAAAGTTTTCACTTTCATAAAGGATATTTTTAATAAGTAAATGTCACCTTCACCCTTACTTTAATATTCTTCCACTTTCTTGATTTTACATAGAGTAAGAGTATTTAGGGAATGTCTTGAATCGTTTACTTACACATGAAAATATATGGAAATCAAAGTGGAGATTTATTTGCGGGGGGAGGGAATATAGTTTAGCAAAAGTTGTTCAAATCGCGATCTAAATCAGACGCTTTTACCACTCTACACCCAATTGATTTGAGTCGCATGTCATAAAATCATAAAGAGAGAATTCCCTAAATAGGAGTAAAAAAGTTTTGAAATTCCAAAATAGGAGTATCATGTTTTTTATTCCTTGAATAGGAGTAAATTTCTGCCAAGTTTGACATTACTAAGCTTTAAAACATGGCATTTTTTTCAAACTTGGCAGATTACTCCTATTCAGGAAATAAAAAACATGATACTCCTATTTTGGAATTTCAAAACGTTTTTACTCCTATTTAGAGCAATTTCTAAATCATAAAATCCAAATAATCATAGCATCGTACATGCACAATCATTTAAAATTGTTAAAAATTATAGTGATGTTTTTAATTTTTAAATGGAAAGGTTGCAACTAATGCGATGCGGATTGGAAGATAGTATATAATTTCAATAGTAGTAAGGTGAATAACATATTTAGTGAAACTGATGGATAGTTATACTCCCTCCGTTTGTATAACTACAATGAACTTCACAGTTTGACCTACACACATATTAAGGAAATAAACTTACCATGGGTAAATTTTACTTTTTTGACACTGTTTCGACACTGTTTGGCACTGTTTTGACACTGTTTTGCACTGTTTGACACTGTTTTGATGTAGATTAACTTGTCATTTAAGGAAATGAGAACTTGTTGTTGAGACATCCAAAAAAAGAAAGTGGGAAGTTCATTGCGGGATGGAGGGAGTATTTTTTATGATTTTTTTACTTCATGTGTGCTTAGTGATTGTTATTTGTTTTATTTACACTATAATTAGTAGATAAATCTTGTTTATGACCTATGGCTCTCTCACCGACTACAGTGATAGCTTAGGCGTTTGAATCCTAGGGTTTCGAGTGCACCAATTGCGCTTCTCTGATCTCTTCGATTAGAAGAAGTAGCGGTGAAGCTGGTGGGCGATGGCTTTGGTTTATGTGTTGAGTTTTTTAAAAATAGATGTGAACGAAGTTTGACTTCAAGTATTAGGTTGGCTTAATTTTAATTCGAGTACTTTTTCGTTATGCCCTGTTTTTTATTTCGAGTTTTATGTTGTTTGGGTATGTTTTTATTCTTTTTTTGAGTAAGCATTTTTTAATGAGAAGTATCTAGACTCTAATGGCCGAACTAATCTTCAAAACTCGTGCATGATTAGCAATTCATTTTGCTCATGACAATCGTTTCTATATTTGATTAGGGAGTGGGGGGTATTATAACTAGGAAGAACTGTCAAATAAGTGTTTGAATTTTCATAAAAAGTGCAAATAAGCTCTTTTACAGGATGTTTTGTCCGACTGTAGTCATTTGGGGCGATTTCCGGTGGAATATTTTGATGCATTTTTTGAACATCTTCTACATTAAGTCTAGTTTATTCATACTAAATTTCAGCTAAAAATTCAATCCAGAAGGCAGTCAAATGATTTTCTGAAATATACTGCGCTCCCTAACTGCACAGTTATATTCAAAAATTCATTTGACTGTCTTCTCGATTGAATGTTTATCTGAAATTTGGTATGAGTAAACTAGACTTAATGAAGAAGATTCTAAAAAAAAATCATCAAAAAATTCCATCGGAAACCGCCCCAAATGGCGACGGCCGGACAGAACCTCCTATAAAAGGGCTTATTTACACTTTTTATGAAAGTTCAAGGGATTATTTGATACTTCTTCCTTATAACTATTACGAGGCCAGTGAAATAGAGAGATTTGTTTATTTTCAATTTGATGCAAGGATTATGACATTCTTGGTGTCAATGTAGGCGATTTCCGTTCAAAACAAAATCTTATTTATAACCCCGTGTGTAAAATTTTATGTTATAAAATGATTTAATAATATTAATTCGAATGTTTGTTTTAATATTTAATTATAATTATTAATTATGTTTTCTAAAATCTTACGGTTCGACTTTCAAGATGATTTGAAAATATGATTTCAATTACCTTGGTTTTGGGTAACTCTTTCATATTTAACTTAAAATTTCATAGTTTTAAATAAAGAAATAAAGAAGGGAAAAGGAACAAATAAGGCCACATACTAACCAAAAAAGGTCAAATAAGGCCTTATTATTCATTAAGTCTAGTTTACTCATACCAAATTTCAGATAAAAATTTAATCGAGAAGGCATTCAAATGAATTCTTGAAGATAACTGCGCTTTTAACTGCGCAATTATCTTCAAGAATTCATTTGAATGGCTTCCCAATTGAAGTTTTATCTTAAATTTGGTATGAGTAAACTAGACTTACTGAATAAGATGATCAAAAAAATTCATCAAAAATTTCCATCGAGAACCAACTCAAATGGCGAAGGCCGGACAGAGTCTCATAAATAAGGTCTTATTTGACCTTTTTTGTTAGTGCGTACCCTTATTTGCCCCTTTTCCCAATAAAGAATGGCAATGACAATTGCTATTGTACGTTGCTTAAAGATGCATTTGGAAAGGGTTAGATCTATTTTTAATGATCATGATAGGTCAGCTATTTTAAGTATACCACTCGGTCGAAGGGAGGTGAAAGATGGTTACCGGTGGAACGGGAACTCCCGAGGACAATATACGGTTAAATCAGGAGATATAGCAAACTGATTGGTGAGGTGGAGGAGAATGTTTGGGTAGGTTAGACCAAGATGTGGGGTATTTTTATTCCACAAAAAATTAAACATTTCTTTTGGCAGGTGATGGCGGATGTCCTGCAATCGACACTTTTGGTCTCATACAACGAGTGATACCTTTGTAAATTCCATAGGTATGTTTATGTTTTTAGTTAGTTTTGTTGTTTGATACTTTGGAAATCACACACTTTTGGTGTAATAATTTAGTTTGTTAAATTAGTTTTAATTTATTTAGATTAGGATTATTCTGAGCTTAGAACGGGTCAAAACCATCCCAAGAATTAAGGATGGATCCTAAAGACCAAAGAATGTGCAAAAGGGAGAAGATAAAATGAAGATTTTGAAATTCGTTCATGTACTCGGTCGAGTATTGCCAATACTCGGTCGAATATTGACCGGATAAGCTGGTCAAAATCAAATCTAGGAGCAAAAGAACGTGGCTGAATATGTGATTGAAATCCGGTCTCATACCCGATCGAGTATCACCAATACTCAGTCGGGTATGCCTATTTTTCACTACTTCCTGAAAACTACCTCTTGGACTCGGTCAAGTGTCTCATATACTCGATCGAGTACAGCACCCTGCCACCTCCATTTTGCTATAAATACATCACTTTTCCTTCACATTAAAGACACCAATTCCTATACACTTCTAAGTTCAGTTTAGTTAAGTACTTTTTTTATATTTTTATCATGTTTAGTCTCCAAATGAGGAGCTAAACTCTTTCATCCTGGTTTTGCAACTTTAAAGCTTAATGGATTCTAAGTTGTGAGTTATATTTCTTTAATCTTTTTCCTTGAATATTAATTCTTCCCTTAATCTATCCCTATATTAATGTTGGGGAGTGTTGCTAAGATGACAATTAGTTAACATTTCGACATAAGTTATAGTAGTGTTTATTTTCTTTAATCTTCTTCCTTGAATATTAATTAATTCCTATTCATATTTCATATAAATATTTTGAGCATTACTTAAAGGATCAACTAGTTTTGTTTCATATATTAATTATTACTAGAATCGATCGACGAATACGCTTGTTAATCGTTCGATCCTTTCACGGTAGTAAACTTGGATTATTAATGCATGTGACTTATGGTTAATAATCTAAGGGGAATTAATTATATTGATTAAATCAATAAACCGCTTGTATTGAGATTATCAATCTCAATCGTTTTCATCTTAAGTTTATTGCTATTATCGGGTCAATATACGACACATGTTCTATATTGACTCGGTAGTAAGTTTTATTAATGAACGCGTCTCGTTATTAATAACTACCCCTGATGAAATGGAGATACTCCTCGATTGAGTATTCGAGAGGAAGATAGTTAAAGATATAGCTGGGATTGACGGACATTTCATTAAGTGGATATAAGCAAAACCAAGTCTCCATCTCTAATTAATTAAACCACATAAGTCATTCATCTTAGTGTTACTTAAATTAAGAAATTTTATCAAACTGGGACCTGAAAGATAGACAAATTATCAATTCGGGACCTGCAAGATGAAATGTATCAGTATAGGACTCGAAATATGACAAATTATCAATCTAGGACCTAACAATTCATAGGTTTTGATTTATTTAATTTTTTATTAATTTCATTGCTAATATTTGGTGAAATTTTCTTCACAAAAGTTTATTAGTTTAATAAAACTAAATATTATTTAAATTTTTTAAAATAAAAATAATAATAAAATTTATAAAAACTTAGGTCCTAAATTGATAGCTTTCAATCATTCGGGTCCTAGATTGATAGTTTTCCATCATTCGGGTCCTATACCGATACATTTCATCTTTGAGGTCCCGAATTGATAGTCCGTCTATCTTTCAGGTCTCGGATTGATAAAATTCCAAAAATTAAATCAAATCAAACTTAAAATCCTCCCTTTGTTACTAGTTACTTAAAAGAGAAGTATTCATTTCCCTGCGGATGCGAACCTTACTTCATTATACTAAGTATAATTGTTGTATTGATTAATTATTTTGAGTGCACACCACGACAAAGTGCTCGTCAACGAGACTGTGACACATCTTTTTAAGGATTTTCGGGTTGTCGCTGTAGTGTGGGAAAAATCCGAGACTGCTGATTTCTGACGGCCTGCATCTTCTTGGCAGGAATGGGTAGTGAAAGTGTTCCGTACTTTGCCAGAGGAGGATTTATGCAGATTCATTACTCTCCTGTGGGGCATACAGAAGGAGCGTAATGAGGTGGTATGAAATAAACACTGTTTTAATGCTTTACATGTGATAAATATGGGAGATACTATTCTTTTAGGATGGCGGACGACACAAGACAATACAAGGGAAAGTAGAGCTATGGTGGAAATCGAGACCCGTTGGACTAAATCTGTTGCTGAAACAATCAAGATCAATGTTGACGGAGCTACTGATGATCGTAGGGGAAGACGTGCCTGGGGATGGATTGCAAGAGACCATAACAGAGAGCTTATCAGAGGTGGATGGGAATCTCACAAGGCGGACTGGTCGGCGAGCATCACAAAGGCACTTGGTGTTCGAGCGACACTCAAATGGGCAAAGAATCAAGGATGGAATCAGATCGTGCTAGAGACAGACGCACAATTGATCACGACAAGATTGGAGGAAAGCTCAGGAGTTTCTTCTCTTCTTACTTCGATACTGTAATCGATGATATTAGACACATTCTTCAGAATGAATATAGGTTTTCTATCCACTTATGTAAACGATCCACGAATATGTGACCTGACTTGTTGGGGCTACTTTATTCAATGAGGGTAATGGTTGTTTTGATGTTAACTTACCTTGTATTTCAAGCTAGCTGATGACTAATTGTTTGAATTAATAATAAAGTTATTACCCTAAATAGGACTAAAACATTAAAAAAGTTCCCAAATATGAGTTCTCTTTAATTTATTGCCTAAATAGGACTAATTTAGTTAAATTTCCTAATCTACCCATTTGACCTCTCACCTCTCGCCTCATACGATACGTATGTAACTGTTTACCCCTTTCCCCCAAACTTTATCTTTCTCCATCTCCACCAGATTATTGTTTCCCATATCTTCCATCCCCAAACCCAGATCTCTCTTCTCTCCCATCTATCATCCCAAAATTAAAATCTGAGACATCTATTTTATTCAATTCTCTTGTATAATAGTTTTAATTCTATTCAATCGATCTGAGTTTCTTTCATCTCTCACGATTTTAAGAGATATGGATGCTGAAGTCTCTCTCCATTTCCGGCCACTGATGAGCGGCGAACGGCGGTGAGCGGCGAACGGCGGTGAGCAGCGAACGGCAGTGAGCAGTGAACGGCATCAAGGTACGGTTGGATCTCCTCCTCCTCCTCCTCCTCCTCCTCCTCCTCCTCCTCCTCTTTGCTCTTCTTCTTCTTCTTCTTCCCCCACCATCTCTATTTTTTATTATTTGCAGAATTTTTAGTTGTTTTTATTAATTTCGATATTTTTATAATTTATTTTAGAGATTTTTTAATCTGAAAAATGTCAATTAAAAAAATGAAATAACTCAATAATTTTTTCTGGAATTTTTCTAGTATCATTTGAAGATTGTAATATCACTCCTAGAATACAACAACTTTAGTTCCATGTTTTTCGTTGGCATGGCATTAATGTATCAAAGATGACAATACGTCTCATTTGATAATACATTAATGCCATGTTTCTTATTTCTATCAGAATGGCAATAATACCATTGAAATGGCATTACAACTATAAGATGACAATAATACCATTAAGATGACATTACAACTATAAGATGGCAATAATTGATTGGTAGTCACATCAGATTCAAAATCAGATCTGAGATCTACGGTGGTGGTGTAGGCGGCAGAGCCAGAAGTCGTACTGTTCACGGAGGTGAGAGATGGTGGTGTTGGATGAGGCGGCGGTGAAGACGTCGGATATGGCGGCGGCTGATGGCTAGACCAGATGGGGTCACTGATTGGGCTTCCTGTGACGCATGTGATGGTGGAGGCGGCAGTAACGCCGGTGACGCCGGTGGAGGTGGTAGTGGTGGCGCCACCGCTGGTGGTGGCAGTTGAGGCGGCGGCGGATGTTATGTGCCAAGGGACTGTTACGTTGATGAGCCTCTCATATTTTCCTTTATTAATTGATCTTGTATTATTAATAAAATAACTTAATTTAATTTGCTCATTAAGGGTAATTTTGTCAACCCCTTCCTTTTTACTCCTACGGAACATGACACTCCTATTCTTTCAATTACATAAACTTTTACTCCCATTTAGAGAATTATCTCTTAATAATATGGTTTTTTTGCTTTCAAAAAAATGCATTTAATGTTGAATCCCTTCGAAATAGAGACAAAATATTTGTATTGTTTTTTTTAGAGAATTCCCTAAATAGGACTAAAAAATTTTTGAAATTCCAAAATAGGAGCATCATGTTTTTTATTCCTTGAATAGGAGTAAATTTCTGCCAAGTTTGGCATTACTAGGCTTTAAAACATGGAAATTTTTTCCAAACTTGGTAGATTACTCCTATTCAGGGAATAAAAAACTTGATACTTCTATTTTGGAATTTCAAAACGTTTTTGCTTCTATTTAGAGCAAATTCTATTTTTTTGTATAGCACCTGCAGTATAATCAAGGGGTAATTTCCTTAATATTACTAAATTAAAGCTAATTTTCAGAAAAGTGACCGCATTTAAATTTGGACAAAAAAGTGACTAATGCAAAGTGACATCTCTGTAGTGACATTCACCCAACTAATCTCCGCAGTGACATCAGCCGATGTGACGCCGTCACAGTGACATCACTTGCGGTGACGCGCCACAGTGACGCCGCCTCATTGACGCCGCCTCCAGTGACACCACTGTCAACAACAACCCAAGCCACCATTGCCACCCATGTCCGTCCTGAGCTATCACCCCTGCTCATGCCCCGCCCCTACCCCCCTACGCACTAGACCAGACCCCCACCAAGCTCTCAGTCCCTGCCCACCTAGCCATAAGCACCATATCCCACCCAGCCCCCAGCCCCACCCCCTCCCCACATCACAGCCTCCCAAAACCCAGTCCTCACCCCTGCCCATCCCCCTAAACTCTCCCCAACCACCCTCGCACTGATTATCCGGCAACCACCACCACCCGGAATGCCGACCAGCATAGATCGACTTGCACGCCTTAACAACTGCACCACCACCAGTCCCTGCAAAATTGGTTCCCAACACCACACCCCACCATAGCCCTTCAACCAGCGCAGCCCGCCATTTCATCCGCTCAACCCCCCAATCTCTGCCGCCAATAAGCCGTCACACCAACTCGCATCGCCGACCTTGTAGCCAAACTCTAGCCGCAGAACAGCAGACGATGGTCACAGATCTACAGGTCATTGTTGAACAGGTCTAGATCTAATCATCTTTACCAATTTCGGCTATAGTAAGGTGAAGAAGAAGATTTCAGACCTCGACGAAGACAACGATGGCGACAACAATTGACTGCGACGAAGATAGCGGCGGAGATCTTGGCTGCGACGAAGCGTTGGTGACGAGCCCTACTGCGACGAAAGCATCATTGGCGGCGAGTCTAGCTGCGATTGACATGGTAGAAGAGATCTGTCGAGAGAAGCTCTCTGTTATTTCCACAGGAAGGAGACGGAAAGAAGTGATTGTGAAGTCATATTTCCGGAAAATTAAAAACTAGTCATATATTTGTCTATTAAAAGTGTGTGGATAATATCTATGCCATTATTTCTAGGGAAAGGGGTCAAATAAGGCCGTCTACTATTACGAAATAGTCACATAAGGCCATGTACTCAATAAAGTGTCATATAAGTACATGTACTTGTAAAAAGCAATCAAATGAGTCCTAACGGCTTATTTAACACCTCCTAATCACGATTTTAGCTTACATGTCGATTTTTTGACTTGTATTTCAACCAATCTTAGTTAAATATTCGACATATGTCGTATAATGTATTCTAAAAAGATAGTCAGAAGTACGTTGAAACCGGGATTAAGAGGTGTTAAATATGTCATTGGGACTCATTTGATTGCTTTTTAGAAGTAGATGTAATTATATGACACTTTATTGAGTATATGATCTTATGTGACTATTTCATAATAGTAAAAGATCTTATTTGACCCTTTTCTCTTATTTCTATGATTCTCTAGTAATTTCCTTCTACAACATTCACTTATCACAAAAATCTCTTATTGTTTCGTAGTATATTATCCCTTTCGTATATATACTGCGTATGTGTTTTTCTCTGACACACAGCGGTGAATTAACAGGGAAGCAGAACTTGATTCTAATTTGATTCAAATTCTAAACACTAATTGGATGAAAATGAAGACAGAAAAGGCTGTACCAGCAGGTGGATGTTTGTCTTCAGGCATGGGAAGGCGAACTGGAAGCGGCCGAGGCGACAACAGAGCCAGCGGCAAAAGAGGCGGCGGCAGAGGCGGCAGCAGAGGCGGGGAAGAAGCAACGCTGGTGTTGTAGAACGGGTACATTTCATTCCTGACATTACAACTTGGGTAGAGAGCTCTATTCCCCCTTGCCGTCACCAGATATTGGATTGCACTGCTAACGCAATCTTGACAATCCTCGTCGGAAAGATCCGGCGTACACTGCTCCACACTGTAGATCGTCTCATTTCCGCTAAACTTAGCTTCGTCAGTCACATATTTCCGGCCGGAACCGCCGTCACCGGCGAGCCGGTTCACCATATTACCCAGTTTCTTTCCGACCCATACCATGAAAGTCTCCGGTCTAGGATCGTTCTGTGAAAACAGAACATTCGAAACAGAGAGGTCCAGCTTCCCGTACATAGGCCGGTCGGAGTACCGCAACATACACTCATCGTACCACACCACAACCGTCTTGAAGTGCGGACACCGCTGCATTATATCTGCGCCGCCGTAGCTCACGCACGCGCTGCAGAGGGCGGTAGAGACGTCTCCGCGGCACAAGAACAGGCCGTACGCGGTGGCGTTTCCATCTCCGGCGGCTGAGTAGTAAAACCCGTTTGGGCGGCTGGCGTTTGAACCCAGAGTGGAGAGGAGGGAGTTGAGGTTGGATCGATAAGTGCTGTTTGGAGTATCGGTATTGTTACACCGATATGAGACGGGTTGGAAGGAAATCCCGGCGGCGTAGTGGGCGATGAGGATCGAGGAGATGAAAAAGTATAGGACATTCCCTAACATGGAGGAGATTACGAGCAAACTATCGATCATTTGGGCAATTATTAATCAATTAATTAATTTAACTCGGATTTTCATTCACTGCTCTAGTCAAAAGGCAGGGTAAATACACACCCAGCTGGAACAGTCAATAGTAGGACCCTTTTGACGTCATAAATTACGATTGATATGTAAATTATAGGGCTTTTGCCTTTTTTTTCATTATAATCCAGGTGTCGGGGCTTACGCTCCCAAAATCCTGGAGTCTATGAACTACCCTCCAAAGCCCTTAGACAGTTATGTCCGGATCTGATCACAGTCAGCCTCGTCAGTACTGGCTCCAAAGGACGAATCCAGCAGGACTTACATCACCTTTCAGGCTGCTCCTCCCACCACACGAACCCGCTACCTTCATTATCATCCTCTCCCTTCTCAGCCGCTGAGCAACTCCGTGAAGGTAGGAAGAATCATTGGGAGCAAGACCTCCCTCCTCTCCCCTAAATGTGCCTAGCGGGATTCGAACCCGAGACCTCCGCTAGGACACGGTAACCTTCCACCCATTGAGTTGGAATGGTTGGTTAAAAGATGTTAAATTTTTCCAACACGTGACCTCCGCTAGGGCTTTTGCCTTGATGTTAAATTAAGGTGAATTTTAAAAGATGTGACCATTTCTATAAAAAGACAAAAATGTGACTAGAGAGATCATATATTTGGAAAAGCATGTTGTCATTGCGAAATTTTTATGTCATTGTCCGATTTTTATGTCACTGTGATTTGTCATTACCATATTTTTATGTCATTTTTAAATGTCATTACAATATTTTTATGTCACTTTTGAATTTCACTACGTATTTTCGTGTCACTTTTGAATGTCACTACGTATTTTTGTGTCACTTTAGAATGTAAGTGCAGCCGTGAAACGTGTAACTATGTCGCTGGCGAATTTTCCGACGACTTTTTCCGGCATTTAAACCCATGCTGCCCTTCCAGCCGCCCGGCCCTCCCAACCACTTCCCGCCACTGCCCTGTTCAATTAGCCTCCCCACATCTTTCCAACCCTGCCCCTCCCCCTAGCCCCATCCACGGTCCCACTAGCCACTCCCCTCTCCCCTGCCTCGCCTACCACCGCCAGAACCGCCTCAGCCCCTTCATTGACCACCACCAGTGACTACCCCAAATCCAACCCCAAATACTGCCCTAACTACTTCCCAACCCTTCCTTGAACTCGGAACTTATAGGGTTGCGGCCGCCGTCGATGAAATCGGAACCCTAGAAACTAAAATCGGCCGAACCAGTCGTCCGAAACAATCAAAACCGGCGCCGTACGAGCAGATCCGGAGGCTGGCAAGAAGATCTGTCATTGTCGCACCTATCACCAATCACCATCGCACGACTTCGTCTAAATCTAAGGAACCGCCGTCGAGTTTGAAAAATTGCAAGGAGAAGAAGATCGATATGTGAAATGAGGCTGGCGAGAAGGAGAAGAAGAGAAGTTGGAGGAGAAACTCACCTATGCGGCGGCGGATGGACATGGCGGAAGAAGCGGCGGAGGAGTGAGGACTGAGGAGAGTTGTCTGCCAAAGAAGAAGGAGAAACGTCATGGACAGTGAGGGATGGAAAAAGTTTGATGTGCAGGAGGGGTTGTGCTTCTGGCCAGCCAAAAGTATTTTAAAATGGTTACTTTTTGTCTAAATCAAAACTGATCACATTTTTGTCTATCTAAACCCTACAACTAATATTTTTGCCATTCCTTCTAAAGTATACGTCTAATTCAAATGAGAATGTAATATGATGAATCTAATGACAGAAAGAAAGATTATTTAATCATTAGATTAATCCAATTTTATAGATGATCTCATATTAAGAGCAAGGTTTTTTGTTGTTGTAGTATTATCCAATTTTATAGTATATGTTCTTGTAAATGTCTAATATTTTTTTATTGAAATGAGTTTCAAACATGTGATTTTCTGCTTGGGTATGTAACCACAAGGAGCATGTTTGACAATAAAAGTTATTTTTTAGTTTAGCATTTTAGCCTTTTTAATGAGAATAACATCCCAATCTTCCTCCTCATTTTTTTGGTTGCATTTAAATATCTTCCTCGTTATACCCTTATGGAGGTATAAAATACAATGTGCGTAATTCTATGAAAGATCAGCCTTCTCTAAAAAGAAACAATCCTAATTACAATTATGAAAGTAATAAATACTTATCATGATCATACAATGTTATTCTTCATGCATTAATTTACGCAGAGTACTTTTAAATGTGTGATTGAATGACTGAATCCCATTATATTCATCTCGATCAAATCTTAATTTTTCATCTACATACATTATCAATTCCATGAAAGTAAATCTTAATTTGGAGATGGTTCGGATAGTGAAGTTACATTATCATCAAGCGGTGCAGAGTAGTGTATAGGCATCCCATCACTTCCACCGCGGTAAAATGCAGGTTCACTAGGTTTTGGCCAACTACAAATAGAATAACTACTAAGCATTAACATTACTTCTGGCATTGTTGGTCTATCTTCGGGATATTCTTGAACGCAAAGTAAACCAATGTGAATACACTGGATGAGCTCTTCTACTTTGTAGGATTCTGTAAGCGCCGGATCCAATATTTCCAATGGTGTGCCATCCTTCCATCGTTCCCATGCCTACAATACAATCATTATTTCAAACTCCATTTCTTAATGCACAAAATATACATACAAAAATAATTACTCACATAGCTAAGGAGGTGTTTTGTGCCTTTAATTAGGAAGAAACGCCGATTTTTCATTCCACTTATAATCTCCAATAGTAAAACTCCAAAACTGAAGATATCAGATTTAACGGAAAACTCTCCGTATAATGCATACTCGGGGGGCATGTAACCACTGCACAGAAAAATTGAAAACTTGCATTGAGGGATCCAATATGTGTGTAAATTAAATTAAAACTTGTGATAATGACCTTTAAGAAATGAAACTCTTACACACCAAAATGTAAATGTCAATGTTATTTAAGGATCAAGAAAGAGTTGAATAATGGTAAAATGCACCAACTTACTATGTCCCAACAATTCTGCATGTATTTTCTTCGGTTTGATCAAGCATAAAAATTTTTGCCGTTCCAAAATCAGATATTTTTGGATTCATGTTTGTGTCCAATAGTATGTTGCTTGCTTTTAGGTCACGATGTATGATTCTGAGTCGAGAATCTTCATGAAGGTAAAGCAATCCTCGCGCTATTCCTCCTATAATCTTATAGCGCCTCGACCAATCCAGAAGGTGTTGATTCTGGGGATCTAAACATACAAAAATTATGCTCATATATATAGTATGTTAGTTAGTCTTTCACATTGACTGTTGAAGCTATTTGAGAAGACAAATGAGAGTTTTGAAGTGTAGCTAGGACTAACCAAATAAAAAGTAGTCAAGACTTTTATTCGGCACAAATTCATATACAAGTATCCTTTCTTCACCATCTGAGCAAAATCCCAACAGTTTTACTAAATTTTTGTGTTGAAGCTTGGCGACTACTTCAACCTCATTCTTGAACTCCTGAACACCTTGTTCTGAGCTTTTTGAAAGTCTTTTTATTGCTACCTCTTGTCCATCGGGAAGTTTTCCCTGCATATTAGATTATCAATCGAAAGTACTGGATTAACACATGCATGCGGTACGTACAAAATATATATACATTGTGATTCTAGTAACATAATAATTACCTAATACTCCGTAACAAATACAAATTCTTTACCTTGTAAACAAAACCATATCCACCTTCACCAACTATACTTTGAGAGGAGAAATTATTTGTAATAGCTTGAATAGTACCATAATCGTATTGGGAGAACTCCTCGCTTAAGATACTAATCACATCTACATGCATATAGGAGGGAGATTATTAGACACTACAATACAAATACTTAAACAGCATATTGTCATTATATTGTAACTTGAACAGTAAGTAATACGTAGTATTAGTTAAAGTTAATTAACTCCAAGTTGTCAACTACTCACCTGTATGCTGTAATTTATCATTTCCCTTTTTGGAATTTTGGATTTTCAAAAGACAACGGGCTGCAATGATGGGTATTATAATTCCAACGATGGTAACTACAACAATAGTGATTATTTTTGTAGAGTGACTTCCTTTGTTGCCTGCAAGAGAAAACCATTCACATAGTCTAAATTATTAATTATTCAACTAATACTAAAAAGAGTTTTCAATATAAATTCGAAGGTGCTCACTTGCCATTGTGTCTAAAACATTAGATAAGTCACTCTCACAGTCTCACAGTGTCTCTCGTAGTGCAATTTTGCATACTTTTTTTTTAAATAAGGCTGTCATTAAATTAAATTACAGCTCGTTCTTATTGTAATTATTAATTTATTACCAATGGCATAGCCAAGAATAAGAGTTGGACTCGGCCATACAAAAAAAATTATAGATAGATTTTTACACTGAAATTTTACATTAAAAATAAGAGTTGGACTCGGCCGTACACATAAATTTTACATTAAAAATATAAGCAATTTTAAAAATTGGGCTGGATCATGGCCCGTTTGGCCACCCCTCCACCTCCGCCCCTGAGTATTACTACCCCCATTTCTTTTAAATGCAACATTGGACGTTTTGTATTATTTACATGTTCTACTTTGACTCTATTTTATTTATTAATGTATTATAAATTAAATTAAAAAAATATTGTTAAATTCCTCTAATTTTAAATTTTCAAAATCTAAATTTTTTATTTATTTTTACTAATAAAGAATGAAAGATATTAATGGTCAAACTTGTGTGTTGGCGAACGTGAAAAGTGGACCGTTGCAATTAGAAAAAACGAAGGAAGTATTATTATTATTATTATTATTATTATTATTATTATTATTATTATTATTATTATTATTATTATTATGGTGCTAATAGATCCAATGAGATCTCCGGTATATGAGGGGCTTTATTATTCGCTAATAAGATAAAGGACAAATCCAGTATTTAAGGCAATCGTCACTACAAAAAAACATGGAATTGACAGGGATTTTGGAAGGGATATGCCAAATCCGTGTCAAAAACACTTTGGCACGAGCTATTTGGCACGAAAAATCAATAAATCCGTGCCAAATTCCATACCAATCTCGTAATTTTTTTGTAGTGCGTATGGGGTGAATGTTTTTCAATGGTGTACGAATTTGTTATTTTTTTATGTAAAAAAATTCCATTAGTATATACATGACATGTAGATCTACTATACTCTAAGTTTGCACAATGAGAAAAATGACTTTGATTTTATAATTGAACTTTAGAAAAAAGTATTGATACTTTAAAGCATAAGAAATGACAAATTATACTATACACATGTATTGTGATTACTGTACAACCAGGTATTTTGTGTTAAAAGACAACATGTATAATGTTTAAAAGAAATAAGTATTAATATTTAATTATAAACTAGACACAATAAATGAATAAGTTGACTTGTAGTATATACATTACGTGTAGATCATGATACTCAATTGCATATTTCTAATACTTAATTGTGCTACAAACACAGTGATTTAATATCAATACTCATTTCGTTTAAACATTACACTCATTAACCATAACATAAAATACCCGATTGTACAATGAGCATTGTACAACCGGGTGTACGGTATACGCTCTTATAAGAAATGACAGATCAAAGAAAAATTATTCAAAGTAAAAAGGATAAAATTTTATGGAATTATTTGAAGATAAATAGTCTAAATGGTACACATTCGCATACAATAATACAATGAAATTAAAAGAAATGAGTATTATTATTTAATTATAAAATAAGCACAATAAAATTTATTACAATGATAATCTAATTATATGAATAAGTTGATTTGTAGCATATACTTCGTATATTATATGTAGATCATAATATGCAATTGCATGTTTTAATACTCAACTGTGCTATAAGTACTGGTGTATGTAATTTACACTTGGTCCGTAGGTCCATCTGTCTAACAATAAGAAAGACTAGACAACTAAAGGTAAATAAAAAAAAACAAAAAAACAAGTAATCTGAAAAATGGCTTTTAAAAAAAAGTAATCTGAAAAATGAAATTCTCTTAAATCAACTAAATCAAGAAGTAAAGGCATTCAATGATTCATATACCTAAAACCTCTGTGCCGCTATCGATCTCAGTTGCGGAATGCCGAAGGGCGAAACTGGGGAAGCGTGGTTGGACTTTCGCTTTGAGAGTGCGACTCACCAGTCACCGCCTCTCTAAAAGAAATCAAAGTAAGCCGTCTGCCCGTCTCTTACTCTCTGATTCTTCGACCCTTCATATTCGTTCAATCGTCCGTCTTTTCAGATTTTTTTAGTCCCTTTTTGAGTTTTTTACATTAGGAATTCACACTCTGTATTCCGTATTTTATTAAATATTTACTATTAAAATTAAATACTTATAAAATACTAAGAGCATCTACAACGGTTAGTTAAACACATCCTAATTTTGCTTGTCACGCCAGCTTTTTCTACTTAATTCAATTTCTAGCAATGTGATAGTCCAATGGTTACTTGAACATACCTCACATACGAATCAATTTTGAAACTATACATTTTTAATGAATTGATTTATTAATATAATAAAAATAATATTTCCTCCTTGTTTAAATGATCCATACGTTAGGTCTTGACACAAGATTTAAGGGGAGAATAGTGAGAATAATGAATATTGTAAAAAAATAGGAGAGAATGTGAAAAAGTAGAAAAGAGAAGATAAAAAAGTAGAAAAAGTAAGGATAGTTGGGTATTTTTAAAGGAAAAACTTACCAAAAAGGAAAAATGTATTAAACTTTTAAATACTTTCCAAATAAAAAAGTGTAGGAAATTTTTAAATACGGAGGGAGAGTACTCATTTTGAATTATTTTCAAACTGTGAAAATGTAAATGATATTTGAAATAATACTTATTTTGAAATATTTTCAAATTGGAATATTTTGAAAAACTCAATTTAAAAACAATTCTCTATTTATAATTAACGTAGAGATTGAAAATTTCTTTGAATTTGAACTCTATTGTGGTATTGCTAACTTCTCCGTCGCATTCTTAATTAATTTAATATATCGATTACAGATAAATTAAATATATCTGGTAATTATCATTTTAATTCAAATTTGTCTCATTTCTAGCAAGTAGCTTGCTTTAGCTAATGTGTTTGCTCAAGTTAGAAGGAGAGATGCACTCCAATGGTAGGTTAGTAGCTTCAAAATTGCAAGCAAGTGACTAGAAACAATCATTGGAGATGCTCTAATGAGCTTATTTTCGCGTTATGTTTGTTTATGTTACTGTGATCAGTAATTGTTGTGTCAAACACATTTAGTGGTTAACGATTCGTATTGCTTGTTCAATGATGATTTCTATGTCTAACCATAACGCTGATAGTGATAATTGGTTGCAGATAGTTATTGTCAGTATTGGTCTCTTTGAATTTGATATAAGGATATGAATTATAATAATATTAATATAAACGATTTTCCTTAAAAAACATGTATAGTAGGGTTAGTACGGTACCATTGTCACTGTGTGGGTTGTAAAAATCGTCTAAGTCAATTTTTGGAAAATTTGAAAAAGAGTTAATTCTATTTTGGTCAAAAAAAATTATTTTAGAAACATCCTGCCTATCAATCAACATAATAATTGATTACAACTTGTTTTCTTCCCCTTTTGCATCTAAATCGTTGAATTCTTTGTTCAACTTTCCCTGTGTCATTTGCTGACTAGTTGTAATTCCCACTGACAGGCGGTAAACTAGGGGCCAAGGTAAAAAATGTCTTCCGTGTCTAAACTTTAAATAATGACATGTTTTTCCAATTACCCTAAAACGAAAAATTAAGGAATCCTAGTTATTAAGCCGGCGGTGTCAATATGTACAGAATATTAATTGGTTAACACGAAGTGTAATAACAAAAATTTGACATATGCAATATGATTCCGCTAATATAATGTTAGGTCTTTTACGGAGGTTTTTTAAATTAGATTGACGTTTCGAGTCTAGTCTAATACTCTAATCTATTTGTTTTTTTTAATATATGCTTCGTATTTAGGTCTAATTTGAATAAGTCTGATTTAAATTAGATGTTCGATTTATGTGTAGTTTACAACTATGAAAGGGTGATTTGGTATGATGTATCTAATTTTGGTCTGTTTTGATCTCTCAAACCAGTCCGATAATAATATCATATGCTAAAAAAATACTCCCCGTTCTATTGGACTTTGTCAAATTTTCCTTTTAACTTTGTAATTTTCCTATTGAAGCAACTAATTTGTAATTCTGCACATTTTTTCTCCTCTGCAGAAATCTCAACCACACAGTTTTAATTTTCTTATTTCTCACCTAATTTGCACTTTATAAAATCTAACAAGGTAATAAAACAGAAAAATTAATATCCATTTTAATCCTCGTAAACAAATTAATTAAGCACGGGAAACCATACCAGAAGGTGCAGGCGTGCTGGGCAAGGGAGGATGGACCCGAGGAGGAAGAGCCGGCGGAGGAAGAGGCGGCAGAAACGCGGCGGTGACGTTGTAGAAAGGGTAAACCTCGTACCTGACATTACAGCTTTGGTAAAGAACGGTATTCGCAGCCTCCGCGACCAGATTTTGAGCCGCACTGGTCAGGCACTCTTCGCAATCCGACTCCGAAAGATCCGGCGTGCACTGACCGGCGGTATATATCGTCTCATTTCCGTTAAATTTCTCTTCTCCGAACGCATAATTCTTGCCGGAGCCCTCGTCTCCGGTGATGTGGTTCAGTGTCTTACCAAGAGCCATATCCACCCACCGCATGAACTGATCCGGTCTAGGATCGTATTGCGAGTACAAAACGACCGGATAGGTCTGGTCAAGCATTCCAAACATAGACTGGCCCGAGTAGCGCAACACGCACTCATCGTACCAGATGACGACTGTCTTATAAACCGCGCACGGCTGCTGTATGTCTACGCCGCCGTTCTTCACGCACCTGGCGCAGACCTTGGCTGAGACGTCGGCGCGGCACATGAAGAGGCCGTATGCGGTTGCGTTTCCGCCTCCCGCAGTGGAGTTGTAGAATCCGTAGCCGCGGGAGGCGTATGAAGTGAGATCGGAGAGGAGGGACTCGACGTTGGATGCGTAAGTGCTGTTGGAAGTGTAAGTTTCCGTGTTGTTACACCAGTAGGAGAGAGGTTTGGAGGAAGTTCCGGCGGCCAATTGGGTGACGAGGGAGAAGAGGAAGAAGAAGATGAAGTAGAGAACGTAGCCTATCATGAAGAAGAGCATAATCACCAGAAATCGAAACCTGGAAGATAATTTGTTGGATATATTTCACTGAAGGAATCACTGTTGTAGTCAATGGGAAGGGAATTATTAACTCCGGAAAATAACACATTTCAAATTTTGCTCTACTCAAATTTTATAGATTGTTTTGTGCCTTGTTTTCTAAATTTCGTTTTTATAGATTTTATATAGATTTCGAGTTTATACAACCCTTTAAGTCACTTTTCAAATCTGGTAGACATAACTACATAGCTTTCCTCATATTTGTCAATGCACAAGTTCGAGCATTTGATGTATTTCTTTTCTTATTGGTAAAAAAAAGTTCAAATTTTGAAAATTTTAAAAGAGCGAAATATGATAAGACTTTAAAAATTAAATAATATGTAGTACATTAGTAAATGAAATGTAGTCAAATTAAAATATATTAATTGTGCAAAATTTCACATAAAGCATCTATTTAATAATAGAGGTAGTATTATACTTTGTATTAGATCAAATCAGATTTAAAAATATTACATCGACTCCGATCAAGGTATACCGGACAATAATAAAATACACTTACAATATATCTTCACCATATCAAATCAGATCATAACAGACCAAATTAAATCAGATTAAATAAAACAAGTCATATCAATTACACAATTTTAATCCCATTTAAACATTCAAACTTCGAATTTATGATATAAGGGTTTTTTATGGGAAAAAAAATGTAATTACACAAAATCTATTAGTATATATATTGTCATTATATTGTTAGTATTATTGATATATTGTAAAATTGAACACAAAGACTTTCACTATAGTTTATTGAAGTCACGCTTTTTTCCACAGTCTTTATTATATATTTACTATTGTTTCTACATTTACTCTTGATATTTGTTGAAAAACATTTTTTATTTATTTTTAAACTATTTTAGATCGTTTAGGATATATGTATGAGTACATACTAACACAATTATCTATTGAATTTCCGGTTTGTCTTTGTTGCTTTTTAAAATAGTTTTTAGAATTCTTTACAATAAAGAATAATAGAACTAAAATACAACATTTGCCTCAATAAAATCAACACTTATTCCCTAGAAATACATCATTCATCGGCATCTTTATTCATGTTGTTCAAATAATGCTTTTTGCGGTCCTCACTATTACTTCGTATATCATTGCTACAGAATATTTTTAAATAATTTCAAAATAGAATAACTATTTATATAAAAATTATAGAGGTTTTTTAAAAATATTACTAAAATAAAACTTATATGGGGTGTCTAAGGATTTTATAATCAGTTATATATGTCTCTTTCCTGACATTATCTAGGGATTTTATATTAGATGGCGGGATCTTATGTACTCGTATTTTTATCAAATATGAATTTTATTTTATTTTGCACCAATGGTGAGGCTGCTCTCCCAGTCTCCTTGATTATTGTTTGAGTTACACCACACGGTCTACTCCAATATATTTCGCCATCACAATTACTACCTTCATATATCCAACGAATGATTACTCCATGTCATTTTGTTAAAATGTTGATTTATACACTTTTGTGCGGTAGGATATATATGGCCGGTGCAATTTCACATGTAGTTTTAGGGGTGATACATGGCCTCACGATATACAAGCGGCAGCAAGCGATCGATTCGGATTTAGGTCAATTTATTGTAATTTATGATATGGTATGTTTGAAAATTTGTTCGCAATCAGACAAAAAATTCGAGATTGAGAGACTGACGATTTAGAATATCAATGGAATAAACGGAAGGTACCTGAAGAGAGGCATCAACCATGCCTAGAAGGCCTTGAGAGACAAGAAAAGACTCGAACTGAGTCATCCATGTAGTATAATCTTCCACAACGAGGTCAAACAGAGGAGAGCCACCCGCGGGTGGTGCTGCTGACCGAAGAGGTTGGGCCGTGGTGGAAACTCCTGGCGAGCCAACAAACGTAGGGCCGGAAAAAGAACTGGCCGAGAAGGGAGGTGGCTCCAAGGGCACGGGTTGCACTGAAGAGGGAGGCTGCCATGGAAAGGTAGGTGGCATATTCTGGAAGAGCGAATATGGGAGACTACGACTCGGCGAGATGTAGTGGGAGGGGAAATTTACGTCGGACTCGGGTGGAGTAGTAGCCGGCGTGATAGCAGCAGCCGAAGAGCTCATGGCGGCGACTTAGGGTATGCAGAGAAGGAGAAAAAACAATTTAGGGTTTATTCTGCGTTCTTGATACTATGTGAAATAATGGAACAAGATGTTCTCTAATTAAGGAGTCCCGACAGATATATTTATAATAAAGAGAATTTAATGTCAAGTACAATACTGTTTCTATAATAATTCTATTACTCTTTAACACTTAAAATCGTGATGTTATTTGTTCACCAAGCGGAGTGAGATTATTTGATATAAATTTGCCAAATTTAAGTGAGTGAAGTAAAGTTTTTGTAATACACCGAACTACCGAAGTATATCTTTCCAAAGCTAAACGCAATAATTTAAGTGGCAATGCATTTTTACTCAATTAGTTTGGCAACGACTTAATTTTGCTTCACTTTTGTTAAAAGAGCCACTGATTGTACAGCCTATTTGACATTTTTTCAAACTGTAATGAGTGTGTTATGGAAATTAAATACGATCTTTTCGTTAACATGGCGCTTTTGTAAAACTAATTATGCATTTCTAAAAGCCAATTCTTGACCGTTGACTTGAACCCGCGCGTGACTGATCAAGTGTGTACGTATTCTCAGGTTGTGAATTGTGATCCATTGGACCACTTGCTCCTCCTAAAAATATTCTTTTGTTAATCCTCTTTGAGGTGAAATTTAATTTGTCATTGCTTGATTATGATAGTTAAATAGGCATCGTAAAGCCTTAGCTGGCCTACTTTTATGGATTATCCCTCTTAAAATAATATTATAGTATTGCTCGTGATAATATGAATATATTTAATTGAGATGAGACACAAATCTGCAATCTCCTTTAGAGAATTCACTGATGTCATCAGAACACAAAGTACTGGCATTAACATGCATACTTTGATAAAATTATGTAATTATAATTATTGTCTTCAATTAATGCCTTTTCGTTACTGTTTATTACCGATCATAGTATATATTATTGTCATATTCAATGCTTTAATTTATTGCTCATTTCTTTGTTGTCATTTATTACAATCTAAATTATCGACACATGCTTCTCAACTGATTGCCTTTTTTTGTAGTGTTTCCTTAGTTGCCAAGGGGGAACGTGAATTGGATTTTATTAATTACTATTCCTAAAAATAAGGGATTAGTTATATAGACATGGGGGCATGATGGGTTATTTGCTCTACTAATTCCAGCCGTATCATGATGTGATGTTCAATTTAGTCATGTATAAGATTAAAAACATAAATGGTCATATTCTTGGAAACGTCATGAGTTAGTAATATTAAGGTATTTTCCCATTATATATGTATGTATGTATGTATGTATGTATGTATGTATGTATGTATGTATGTATGTATGTGTGTGTGTGTATATGTATGTATGTATGTATGTATGTATGTATGTATGTATGCATGCATGCATGCATGCATGCATGCATGCATGCATGTATGTATGTATGCATGTATGTATGTATGTATGTATGCATGTATGCATGTATGTACGTATGTATGTACGTATGTATGTACGTATGTATGTACGTATGTATGTATGTATGTACGTATGTATGTATGTATGCATGCATGCATGCATGCATGTATGTATGTATGTATGTATGTATGTATGGATGGATGGATGGATGGATGGATGGATGGATGTATGGATGTATGGATGTATCCATGTATGCATGTATGCAAGTATGCATGCATGCATGCATGCGTGTGTGCATGCGTGCATGCTGACGAGCACTTTGTCACGGTGCGTCAAAATAAATTCAATACTAAACACTTATACGTAGTATAGCGTAGTAGAGTTCGTATCCACAGGGAAATGAATGATTCTCTTTTTATGAAACTAGTAAAAAAAGGGGGGTTTGGTTTTGAATGATTTAATTTAATTAAGAAACTAAGATGAACAACCTATATGTGTTTAATTCAAGAATAAAAGGGACTTGGCTTTGCTACTTTCCACTTGTTGATATATTTTAGTTGATCCTTGTCATATCTATAACTTATCCCCTCTCGAATACTCAATTGAGGAGTATCTCCAATTCATCGAGGGTAGTTATTAACAACGACCGTTCATTAATAACCCTTACTATCAATCAAATATAGAACAACGCCGTATACCGATATAATAGTAGCATTCAATCTTTTTAACTCCTTGATGAAATCAATTGAGATTGATAATTTTAACACAGTGGTTTTGGTTTAACCAACAAAATTGATCCCTCTTAAGTCTATTAACCACGACCGTGCATTAATAAATCGAAGTTACTTACTTGTGAAACCACCAACGATTAACCATCGGTTCGTTCATCGTTTCTAGTAGTAATTAATGTCGGAACGTTAACTAATCGTCACTTAGCAACCCTCCAACGTTAATATAGAATGAGATTAAGGGAAGAATTAATAATCAAGAGAAGAAGTTAAGAAAATAACTCACAACTTTAATAATCAACAAGCTTCAAGAGAAAAACCAAGAATGGAAGTTTAGCTCCTCATTTGGAGACTAAACATAGCTAGAAAAATATAAAGAAATGCTATTCTAAACTGAGCTTAAGAGTATGGAAGAAGGAATGAATAAAAGTGAAGGAAAATGGAGCTATTTATAGGTGTTTTACAACACCTTTGGTCAGGTGCCCGACCGGGTAAAGAGCCCACCCGACCGGGTGCATGTCAAGATCAGATAATCTTCCACGTTTTTGTGTTTTTGCACGTTAAATTGTCCCGGGTCAA